TCAACAAGTGCGACACCAAAAAAGGAAAAGGGGGGAGGGAGGGGGGAAAGAAGGAAACCTGTGAACGCATGCGCCGCTGCTCGAACAGCCGGAAGCCCACCGCCGTGCGTATTACCCATTGCGACGAAGAAGCGACGTCCGGGAGCGTAGAGCCGTTATTATCGTAAAACAGTAAAACAAGCGCGGTAGAGTCATATCTGAAGTCCAATTCGTTCTAAAAAAATATATATATATTCTAAAAATGCCCTAAGTGCAACATGTGTGCCGGTGCATCGTAAGGGGATGCACCATTATGCAGGGTTGTCAGATGCACGAAATCAATGCACCAGATCAATGCACAAGTTCACACATTAATATGAGTGTGCACCTGAAAATTAGCACACACACACACACACACACATGTATATATATATATATATATATATATATATATATATATATATATATATATATATATTTGTGTGTGTGTGTTTAGGATCCAGTGCGAAGGCTTCTTTCTGTGCGAAAATGCGGTTAATCATGATCAATGTCTCTCTTAAAAGAAATTCTATACGAAATGTGCACTTGGATGTAAAAATTATGCACTCAAGGGTAAATAGATGTGCAATTGACGTAATTTATGGTACCAAAAGGGGAAGTTATTCAACTTAAGTGTTATTAAAATAATTACCCATACAAATCGTTTGTAAATCTCACAAATTTCATTAGAAATTTAGTTATATGTTATTGAAAAGAATGCACAAGATATAACAAATACTGTCTAGAATTGTGCACTTGAAGGCAAAAAAAAAATGCACTTGAAGGCTAGCTAAAAACATGCACTAGAAAGAAGAAGAAATAAAAAGGGTTCACTTGAATGCTAAGTATTTTTTTTTTTACACAATAGTAAGACATACATACACTTGTAGGCATGAAATTGAGCACTTGAAGGCATAAAGATGATCACTTGAAGGCAAGGGAGAAAAAAAAAAAGACACTAAAAGAGAAAATTCGAAGAAAATTAATTGTGCACTCTTAGAAAGGAAAACATGCACTTGAAGGTTACAAAATGTCCACTCGAAGGCTAAAAACTTACACTAGAAGGAAAAAAAAAAGGTTCAATGGAATGTTAAGTATTTTTTTTTTTTTTTTTTTTGTAATACAATAGTAAGTCACACATGCACTTGTAGGCATGAAATTGAGCACTTAGGGGTCGTTTGGTTCACGTAATGTTAGATTACCTTAGGGAATGTTAGATTGCTGGAATGTTAGATTACTGGGAATGTTAGATTACTGTGTTTGGTTAAAATTGGGGTATGTAATATAATCATGTTTGGTTTAGGGTTATCTTTTATCCACACACTATAATATCCTTAACATATTTTCATATATTTTAATAAATTTAAAAATTAATATAAATAAATAAGATAACGGTATCATATATAATTACATGATTTTAAAATATTAACTAAAATCTTGAACTTGAGAAACAAAATTATTTTATATGCTAACCTAACATAATAAAAATAAAAAATATATAATTACAAAAATAATTATATATATATCTGTGTGTGTGTGTGTATAATAAATTAACATAACCAAGGTTATCTTACATAACCTTAGAAATTGAAGGGAATCACATTCCCTTCAAAATCCTATGTGGAGGGAATGTGACATTCCATGGGAATGTTAGATTCCCTGAGATAATATGAACCAAACAGAGGAATGTTAGCTTTGGAATGTCACATTCCCTTGGTTATGTTATATAACCTGAACCAAACGCCCCCTTAAAAGCATAAAGAAGATTACTAGAAGGCAAGGAAAAAAAAAGGACACTAAACGGAAAAATTAGAAGAAAATTAATTGTGCACTCTTAGAAAGGAAAACATGCACTTGAAGGCTACAAAACGTGCACTTGAAGGTCAAGTTTTTGCACTCAAAGGAGAAACTAAGTACTGAAACAAAATAGATGCACTCGAAGAAGAGAAATATGCACTTGAAGAAGAAAAATGTGTACTCGAAGAAGAAAAATGTGCATTCAAATACAAAAAAAAATATGACTTACTCAAAATTACAATTATGCCACAGTATGATTTTTAATTAATATTCAATCTGGGCTGTTGATGTGGAATACATTTACACTTAGCAAGGAATATATCAAATGCAAAGCAGTTTCCATGTGAAAAATGCGCACATATCTTAACCGGTGGATCTCAACCCATATTTGATCACAGTCATTGGTTGAGAGGAGATGGGCGGTGACAAACTTGTAATTAAGTTAAACTTATAACCTGAACTAAAAAATGGCCGTCCAATTCGATGAAATGAATGTTTCAGATTATTTTGATTTTAGTATTTTTTTTACTTTACCCTCTATTATATTATTTTCTTCCCTTAAATACCCCCGCATCTCGTTAATATAAACTTTAGTTCCGTTAACTATTTATTATTCTTAACTTGTGGGTTCGAGCCTCAGTGGAGGCGGTATTGACTATTTGTGCTTCAGTATGTTGAGAAAGTAGTTATGAACATATACTACATTGTAACAGAGTTAGTAGTACTAAAAAAAACTTATTACTCATTGATTTCTATAAGAAAGGTCTTAGGTTCGAACACATCCCAATCAGAGTTGGCATAATTGCTGAACATATACTATGAATATGTTAAAGTGTATTAAAAAAAAGTACAATATAAAATTTAACATGAACTTTGGTCAAATAATTAGTCCGACTAAATACATACCATTCAAAGTTGAGCAAAAAAAATTACAAATAAGGAACATTGAAAATCATTTTCTTGCATTAAAAAAAAATTAGGTTAAGTTTTTTTTTCTTTATTTTTCGTTTAATTAATCTTCTTTTGATTATTTAGAACAAGAATCAATATTATTTCAACTATTCTTTTGTATTATTGGGAATGATTTAGGTCATTATTATTAATATTTTTTGTCCGTATTTCTATAATGGTACAATTGTACATTACTTTACAAATAGTGTACTATTTTTTTTTTATTGGACAAAATTGTTCTTACATCATTGTTAGACACTCAGACTTGCGCAACCTAACTATAAAGTTGTTGATTAGAAATATAGCTACACATAGACTCTAAACAGTATGACCATTGTCCAAAGAATTGACAATGTATGTTGACACCCAACTGGCTCTAATTGAACAAGTTTACACATCATTTTAAAAATTTTACCAATGCATGAAAACTTCTAAAGAAATTTGTAAGTTAATATTTACTATATCATTATAACAATATCTATTGTAGCCATATATTTCGAATTATTTATCCTCATTTTCTATTGGCAGCAATTGTTAATGACAAACTCCCAAAACAATTTGCCACAACAACGAATGGAAATAAAAATAAAAAATAAAAAATCAATGACTTCAATTCATTGTTGTAGATGAAAAGTAAGTACCCTACTCTATTAGTACCACTCTTGTTAAATTAAATAAATTATTAACTACAACAAAAAATAATGCATATGCATTTATTTAATTTATAATTAGATGTTTGCAATATATTTATTCAAATAAAAGAAATATGTTCATTATAAAAAATTAAATAAATTCATCATTCAATTACCTATGCATGAATACCTCCTATATAATCTTGCATTGATATATTTTAAAGTACTTATTTAAAAATAGATATTGAGCATTATCTCGCACAATACGCGTGCAAAACGTACTAGTTATATAAAATAGGCATCTATACTAAAAGCTAGTACAAATACCTACTAATTAAAAAAAAAAAAAAAAAAAACTTCACCAAAAACCCAAAAATACATCTACAAGAATGGATTTTTATGGTTAGTTTGAATAACTCATTTTTATGAATGCAATTCTTAGAAATATAAAATCAAATCAAACAACAGAATAAGTCTATTCTTAAAATATTATATTATTGGAATAATGGTCAAATAGGCCACTAAACTGCACACCAAAGTACAATATAATTAAGTCATCGAACTCAAAAATAATGCAATTGGGTTCCTGAACTATGCAATTGGGTTCCTGAACTACACAAAATCATGCAATTAGGTCCAAATTGACCTGTTTACCTGAAATGCAGGTTACCAATTTTAAAAATAATTTGTAAATATATTTTAAAATAGAATAATTAGTTAAAATTATATAATTAAAAAAAAAAAAAACTAAAACTAAAACTACCGGAGACGAATCGTCAGCAGTCTTTCGTCTCCATGGCCAGGAGACGAAGCTTCGTCTCCCTAGCCATGGAGACGAAGGTCTCTTCGTCTCCATGGCCGGAGATGAAAGCTTCGTCTCTGGCCATGGAGATGAAAGCTTCGTCTCCATGGTCAGGGAAATTGGTAACCGCCACGTCAGCACAATTTCAGGTCAACAGGTCATTTTAAACTTAATTGCATGATTTTGTGTAATTTAGAGACCCGATTACATTGTTTTTGAGTTCGATAGCCTAATTGCACTTTAATGTGCAGTTAGGTGGCCTATTTGACCCTTATTCCTATATTATTTAACTCAAGTAATTAAACTCAAGGATCAAATTCATGAGACATTGTCAAGTCATTAATCAATGTTACGTTATTCCTCAATTTTCAAACATACTGAATTCATATGACACAATCACATCGTCATGAACATTTACACAGTACAGTTAACTAGCATGAAACAATTTATTTATGTACAATAATTAATATTTATACATATGCAGCTTGTCAACACATTTACATGATCTTAGAAATTTAAACTTCAAATAGGAAAAAAAAAAACAAAACAAAACAAAAAAAAACCATAACAGTGTCTGATCCAGTTCATAAAAAGAAATACAACCAACATAAATTAAAGATTATTGAATATTCTTGCATGCTACTCCGCACCGTACATATGTAACGGTAGAAGATGCAAGTCCGGTAAGTATTATTGCAGATGGACATAATCTTGGTTTCAACCACCGTACCGAAGACATGGATAATTATACTCCTACTATATATACTAACGTACCTGCACTGTGACTCGATTCTGGATCGATCCCTATCTTGTAAAGTAATTTTTGGGGGAGAAAATTCTCCGGGGAGAGAACATCCCGTTGTATCTAGGCGAAGCCATTCCATCAATGGAACGATAATCCGGGATTGTGAAAGCGGCGACGCCATTACTGGGGCGATGATTCTTATCTCCACGGGGCATGTTGGCGCCACTGAAGGTGCTGCATTTGGCTAGCTTGCCAAACCAGGAGGACCAGGGCTTATTCCGTTGGGAGGGTGAAGAAGAAGAAGGATGGTTCATCCTCTGGCACAGGAACTCCTTGACGACGTGAAGGCCTTGGTCGAGCAGGTCGCTGGGCGGGGAAACCAGAGGGTTTCCTTCGAGCTCCAGCTTCTGGAGCTTCTTGAGGCAGCCGAGGGAGTCGGGCAAGACGGTGATGCTGTTGTAGCTGATATCCAGCTCCTGAAGTGACATGAGCATGCCGACGGAGTAGGGGAGCTTGGTGAGGTGCTGGAAGTTCTGGCTGACGTTCAACACCTGCAGGCTGACCATGTTCTCAAGATCTTCCGGGAGTTGGCGCAGGCAGTTGAGGCGGGCGTCTAGGACGCGGAGGTTGCTTAGGTGGGAGATGGAGTGTGGGAGGAAGGCTAGCTTGTTGGAGTTTATGGACAGTTTCCTCAGGGTCGTTAGCTCAAATCCGATGCTTTCTGGAAGATGGCTCAACATGTTGAAGTTTACGTTCAACTCCTCCAAACATCTGTACGCGCGTTCCAATAATAGTTATATTTTTGTTTAATTATTATAATTTAATTTCTTGTACTGTACTGTATATATTCAACCACAAAAATCTCTATTTTAATTTATTTTTTTTTATAAATTATAAAATAATCAAATAAATTAAGTGATGAAGTCTTAATTTAATTTTGAGCCTGCATGTCCGTCATCAAAAGAATATATGTCAAAATATGCCGTGTACAGTTATATAATAATAATAATAATAATAATAATAATAATAATAATAATAATAATAATAATAATAATAATAATAATAATCATAATAATAATAATAATAATAAAAGACTGGGAAATTTAATTTGTATTTTTTCATTGAGTTTTTTTTTTTAATATTCGTGATTTTTTATAAGGTAGTATTTTTTTTTATATACTTTCTCAAACATTTTCAGCTCAAAGAATCTAAGCCCTCACCATCAAGGTTGGAACCTATAATCATCCATCATTGGGATGTCAGCACACTACATGGTAGTAGTTGGATGTCCATTACTTTAAATATAAGCAAAATGTGTGTGAGATCGTCTCACGGATCATTGTTCGTGAAAAAAATTAGATCAAAATGAAAAAATGTAATAATTATACTGAAAAATGTAATACTAATTAGGAACAAATTGCTTGTTACCGAGTATTTATAAGGGAGACTATAATACTTTTACATTTTCCTTTATAATTGACACTTTATTCCTGATTAGTATTACATTTTTCAGTATAAGTATTACATTTCAATCTTGACTGGACTCGTCTTACGGATAAAAATCAGTGAGACAGTTTTACCTAGAGTCACTCTTAAATATATAGGGTGGTATGTTATATTTATAATTAATTAGTAACTTATCTTAATATCTCCCATGCATCTTTAGTCTACCAAAAGAGAGAATTAATAGCAAATAGCAAATAATATTATAACACAACTCATGCATATTGAAACCCCCAGAAAATGTAATTTTGGCATAATTAAATAAATCAAATAAATAGCATTCAAAAAAAAAAATCAAATAAATAAAGGGCATATATATACCTGCAGTTCTCAATGGTCTTAGGGAGAGATTGGAGGTTGTTTCCGGAGGCGTTCAAAATCTTGAGTCTGGACAAACAGCCGATGGAGTTGGGGAGAGACTTAAGCTGATTTGAGTGCATGTCTAATACTACTAGATTTAGCAGCCTCGCTGTCAACGACTCCGGTATTATCTGTGTCATTTTCCCACGCAACATAAATAAAAATACTAATCAATTAAAATATAATATGGTAATTTATAATTTGTGGTTATTTATTATTTCATCATCATCATAAGTCATATCCACTGCACCCCGTTTAAAATATATTAAAACAATGCGCTGCAATGAGATTTACACTTTATAAATTCAAATCTCACCCCATACATTAACTTTAAAAGTGAAGATGATTAAGATATTGATGATTAAAAATGCAATATACTGTAATATAATAATTAATTAAAAGCTATATTTAGGAATATGGATACCTAAATATCAAATATGCATTTAATTTCTCTCTGAGATAAACGGATAGAAAAAAAGAAAAGAAAAGAATAATAGTAATAGAAATATAATTTAATAGAAATTCAAATGCAAAACAGTGGAATTTGAAATTTTTTTTTTTTTAAAAAAAAAGAAAAAAAAAAAAACACAACAGATGAGATGAGATGAGATGAGAGACCTGAAGATTATTGCAGGAGAGGTCTAACTTGCTAATGGCTGCTAAGTTGAGAGAGATATCTACGGGGAGAGCCTCCAACGACAAGCCGCTAAGATCCACGATATCCAGCCTTTCTCCCTCTTCCTCGGTCGCCGAGATCGTCCTTCGCGATCGTCTCACCAATGACGACGATCTCCTCTCTCTTTCCGGCATCAATTGCAGCGATGACGATCTCCTCCCGAGCGGATCCACTGCTGCGCCCGGTCTCATGATTACTTCCGAGGCTTCGTACATCATCTCGATTGAATTGAATTGAATTATTGAAGCAAAGAGACAGAAACAAACCAAGCTAAGCTAGGGCATAAAAACAACTGAACGAGATTGGAATGATGAGGAGGAGAGAGGATGTACGATGGCGAATGATGAAAGCTAGGAATTGAAGAAAGGCGATCGATTTTGGATTTAAGCTAAGACCTCGCAACGTAACATACATATATAATATGATATGATGAAATTTGAGGTTGAGGAATCTGCTACATATACTGTTACAAATGGCTGGCGCTGCCTACACCCTATCTAGCTTAGTACACAATATAATATTATTGGTATTCATATTATAATTCAGACCAACCACTACCCACGCAACTATGGAGCTTCTTAATATTCAACACATCAAATATAAATATCCCTAGCCTCCCTCACAAAAATTACTTTTTAAATATATCTCTTATCATTTTTTGTTATTCTTGTGGGGTAAATACCTGTTAGTGGATAACTGTTAACTGATTGAGTTAGTGAGTTTGCCTAGTTGATTGTAGAAAAGTGTACGATAAATTAGCTGTTAGCGAATAGTTAATTACATGCAAAATGATTTTCTCAAAAAGTTGATAGGAAAAGCTAATTTGAACAGTTTTTGAATTCTAGCATTTAGGGCAATAAGTTGTTATAAAAAGACAAATTAATCAAACATTCATATTGATTGTTTAACCAAGTCAAATAGCTAATAGTGGTCAAATAAATCAAAATTGACTGATATGCTAGCTATGTTATCAAACATGGTCTTTATCTTTTTATTATTTAAATTTAATTATTTTGACGATAAACTCTCTTATAACATCTTTTTACGTACCTTAAAGTTTGTATAGAGTTTGATCAATTCACACATAACGAATGAAAATAAAAGTTTAATCTTTTTAAGTTTAACATAGTAAACACTATGGAGTAGTTTTAGAAAAAGAACATATCGTATCATTTTTCAAATATCAGAGAACAAAGTTCGAACCTCGGCGGCGACAGTGTGGGAATTATGTTCAAAGTGGACAGATTCTTTGTGCGCACCGACATTTGGCCATGTCTACAAACTCAATGAGTCATCTTCCCACCTGCTTTGTCAGGTCGGAGTGTGGGGGCCCTTAGGATTGGGAATTCAACCTTTTGGGGTAAGAAAAGAACATATCGTATCATTTTTCAAATATCAATAAATGTAGAGTTTATTCTACTTTTGTTTTTTTGAAAGAAAAATTCCAAATGCGTTAATCAAGACCGGAAACAAACTGAACTACGGCTCTGTATTTAAGTAAACTTACATAAATCATATCTTTTCTTATATTATTCAGTAGTAATACATTATATATTAGAGTAATATAATAAATAAATTTGATTTCATTTAAATTTTAATTAGTAAGAATTGTTAGTTATTTTCTAAAATATAAATATTAAATTTATAAAAATGATTACGTTATAATTATAAGTATTATTATTATTATATAATAATATAACTATTTAAAATTTAAATAAAAAAACATATAAGAGTAAACTAGTGTTATTATACACGATTTATATAAATATATATTTTTATACTTATTGAGTTGTATATTGCGCGATAAATATTGTACTACTCCGTATTATTTTTATCTAAAACTAGTATTTTCACTCGTGCAATGCACGGAATGAAATTGTTGTAATATATTAAGAATAATTAAATCGATATATAATTATTTAAGAGTTAATTTCACCCGAGCTCGCTTATTTTTCCTGACAATTTCAAATTTAATCCTAGACTATAATTATTAATTATTACGATTTATTCTATGTTATAATTCTTACGTTAATATTCATAGGGCATCTCCAAAAGGGGATTCTTTGCCAAATTTTGGAACAGTAAAAGTTTATTGGGTTAACTTTTAACAAATGGGAGTACCAGGTTTTATGGAGATTTTAATCCTGAAGAATAGAGATTTTGGCAGACATGGTGGGTCCCCCAACAAAGTGGAGAGTTGCGCCTCACGTTGCATGAGGCGCAACTCTCGCGCCCAGGCGGACGCGTAATTTATTTATTTTTTTTTGTTTTTTTTTTTTATTTCTAGATTTTTTTTTATTTTTTTCCTTTTCTTTTTTCTTCTCTCCCATTTTCTATTTCCTAACCACACCTGCAAAATCTCTCAAAATTTTCAACTATTGAGAATGCCCTTACTATTATTATTAACACTTAATTACTTTTAGATATTATTTTTACCACTATATATTATTATTATATTATTATTATTATTAGTTTCTTTTCAAGTTCTGTTAGTATATAATGGCCATGAGGCACAATAATAATATAACCATAATTAAATATTCTTGTATTGTATTCCGTGAGTCACAATAATAATATAACAATAATTAAATATTTTTCAATTCTATATTCTTCTAGTATTTCTATTACCATCATTAATTATTCCCTAATTTACCATAATTAAATAATTTGACCAATTATAAAGAGAGATTATTAAATAATGCACGGGATAATTTTTTAATTAAAAAATTTAAAAATTCATTAATAAAACATAAGGTTCTCATAGTTTTTTCTTAGAAATTATTTAATAAAGTATTTTTTTTAGAAATTGGTGGGCCAAACCGCCTACAGCAAGTGGATAGATCTCGAAAAAATACGCGATTTCAAAAAACATTTGTCCAAAACGGATAACCGAGTCAAAAGTTATGTCTTGCCGAACTTTTGACACTTTACAACTTTAAAAAAAAAAAATTTAATCACCGATTCCGGCCTTCCTCGCCTCGGCCAGCGGCACGATTTTTGCAACACTGATATATAGTATAGATATAGTAGGAATAGTATTACACAATTTTATAATATTAGAATAGAATTTTAACCCAAAATTATTGTACGAATTGGAAAGTAGAAATCAATATATTTTATTAAGAAAATAGATTTTTTAGGAATTGGGCGGGAAGTAAAAAGTTCAGGATTTTGTTTTTATAGATACTATAGATTACAATAGGAATTTTATTATACTATTTAATAATATTAGAATAGAATTTTAACCCAGAATTATTGTACGAATTGGGAAATAGAAATCAATATATTTTATTAGGAAGAGAGATTTTCTAGGAATTGGCGAGAAGTTAAAATTTCAGGATTTTGTTTTTATATATAGTATAGATAGTATAGATAGATATAGATTACAATAGGAATTATATTACCCTATTTTATAATATTAGAATAGAATTTTAACTCAAAATTATTGTACGAATGAGAAAGTAGAAATCAATATATTTTATTAGGAAAGAGATTTTTTAGGAATTGGGCGGGAAGTTAAAATTTAAGGATTTTGTTTTTATAGATAGTATAGATTACAATAGAATTGTATTACACTATTTTATAATATTAGAATAGAATTTTAACCCAGGATTATTGTATGAATTGGAAAGTAGAAATTAATATATTTTATTAGGAAGAGAGATTTTTTAAGAATTTGGCGGGAAGTTAAAATTTAAGGATTTTATTTTTATATATAGTACAGATATAGATTGAGTCAGGGCCGTTCGATAAAAAGTCATTCTCTACTTTTCTAATGTCAACCAGTGCTTCTGTCTAACTTGATTAATTGTGTGTTGGTTAGATTCAATTAATTATCGGAGTAATTAATTATAATTGTATGGTCAATTAAAAAGGAATAAAAGAAAAAAAACAGTACGGATAGACGTTGAATTCTAGGAAAATAATAAATAAAAGAATAGTCAGATAAGCAAAGTACAAATCCGTAACTAATTGCGTACTGGCATTACCAACTTTGCAAAAGTCAACCTTTGTCCTGTCAGTTTCAGCTGCCCCGCCCACCGCCGTGTTTTTCGCTTATTGTTTATTCCTTAACTAATTCGTGGTTTTTATATATGTTATTACATCTGACTAAATCCAATTTGCCGTTATATATTTCCTTGGGATATCTTTATTTATTATTATTATTATTTTTATTTTTAATTTAGGTCATTCCAATTTCGACAAATTAATCCTAAGCACACATAAACATGTTTTTAGAGTCACTACGAAGATAAATCGTAAGTAGTGCAATCAGTTCACCGGTTAGATCTTAACCTTTTTTATCATCATTGCGCCTTTTCCCATACATGTTTTTGTAGGATTTGAACCCCTACATTGCTGCCTCTGACCTTTAAGCAGTGGCGGAGGCATGATTAGATGTGCGGGAGGCCAATTATGATTTAAGAGTGAATAATTAAATATATTAATATTTATTTAACATATTTCAACATACACTATTATTGCATTATATTACAAATCTACTAAAACCGAGTAGTAGACTAATATTTTCTTCGTAATACTGCGCCTGCTCATAATGTATATATAATCACCATATACTTTAGCTAATCTTAATTAATTCTTTATTTGAAATTAATATTTATCTTAGCTTATATATCTAATTCTTTGTTTATGTAATCACCTTCTTCTTTGACATTGAAGACTGAAGCCGCCATTAATGCTGTTATTCATAGAATGCTGCTTGAAGAGAAATGAAAATATACAATACCAGTAATTCATCAAAAGATTCAAAGCTCCAAAGATATATGAAAAAATGACCAAGTTACTCATTGAAGAAGATAAGAATTGATATTGTGAAAAGCCAAACTTAGTCTGCAAGATTGATTGGGGGGAGTCAAATATTTTGAAAAGGGAGGACACCAAAAATAAGTATTATACTATTAAAAAATTTGGAGTGGGGAGGGGGGTGGGGGTGGCTCCTCTCCTGCCTTTAAGTCAGCCAACAAACCAACTACGCTAAACCACGGGGGTCTCCTTAGGATATCTTTATCTTGTGACAAAAGGTGGAATCGCCCACCCCATACACTCCCACACTCCGCCCCGACAGTTTATGGAGGGTTAAATCATATGCATGGTGACTCAATTGACCAACAGATGCTAGACTTTTGCTCATTGCGCACAAGGAGCCCCCCTCATTTTTTGAGAGGTTGCTCCCACACTGTCGCTGGTGAGACTCAATCATTGGTCTATTGTGACAAATTTCACCTCTGCAACTAGTTGAGTTGCTCATGCGGTCTAGGATATCTTTTGTTCACACCCTTTGTCGTGGGGTCGGATCGCATATATATATATATATATATATATATATATATATATATATATATATATATATATATATATATATATAGGTTCTATTGTTCATACTTG